GTCTGTGCGCGGCGGGACAGGCCGCAGCGCTCGGGCCTCAGAGGCAGTGCAGGAGCCTGGCGCACTGCCCTGCGCTGGGAGTCACCGGCGTTTCCTTCTCGCAGCAGGGACTGCGTTTCGGTGCTCAGGAGCTCGGGAGCACTTTCTTTTCCACATCCTCTTTGTCGTGTTCCTGGTCCTGTTGAATCATGAGCTGCACGGCTCTCCTGCAGCCGGGTCTTGAGCAGACCATGGCTGGGAGCTATGTAGGGAGGAATGATAACGTGCTGTGCGCTGCGCCTGTGCCCCGCATCCTCCTGCTGGGGTCAGTGATGGAGAGGGGCAGGACTGGGAAGCCTCTCACCTTACCGCTGGCAGCGCTCGCATGGCGGGAGCGAGGAGACCGAGGAGCGAGGGCAGAAAGGGCGAGCACAGAGCTGTAGGGCTGCCGAGGGCCTTAGGCAGGTGTGAGTGCTGTGTGGATGCCCGGCCTTGCGTCCTGGGTATGGAGCCTTGGGGTTCCCCCTTGCTGGAGCGGGTGGGAGTGGGAGCATGAGGAGGCCACACAGGAGGAGGGACTGGCTGCAGCAGGGGGTGCTTTCCTCCCTCCTTGCTGGGCTGGGGGCGGGCGGCCCTGGTGGGTCTTGTGCTCCTGCCACAGCCTGGTTGCCACTGGGCTTCTCCCAGGGGCCTGGGAGAGCCCTCCCTGCTTCCTTCAGTGCTCCTCCTCAAGGCTGGAGCACTTGCTGTGTGGGGAAGGACAGGGCCTGTGTGGGCTGAACTCCATCACGCTCCCTGCGCTGTGGGGAAGCTCTGCTGTGTGCCTGGCCCAGAGGACTGGGGTGGCTCGGGGGTTTCCTGGCTTGGGCTGGGCAGGAAGCTGCTGGGAAGGAACGACCTGTTCTCCCTGGGGCTCTGCAAGGACAGGCGAGAGCTGCCCAGGCAGGAGTCCTGTAAAATGGTCTCCCGGGGCGGTGGTTTGTGCAGCGCACGGGTAGAGACCCAGCCTTGCACCCGGGGGCCACCTTGCACGGTGCTGCTCGGTCTCTGCGAGGCAGGCCCGTGCTCGCTGCTGCCGCTCGCCTGCTCCTTGCAGAGCTGGGGGGCAATTTGCCTCTCTTCCAAACTGCTGCGCAGGCAGTTGCAGCCCAACTCCTCCGCCTGCTACCGGTTGCCTCCTCCTCCCACCACACCCGGCCTTCTCCAGGCGTCGTTCTGACGCCGCAGGCCAAGGAGCCGGGGGAGGAAAGGCCGAGGAAGGCAGGGAGGGCAGGGAGCTCCTCCTGCTGCTGCATCCCAAGGCAGGAGCCTGACTTTCCTGGCCCTGAGGCCAGGCAGGGCTGGGGGAGCCCTGCAGGTAGGGGCAGTCCCTGCATAGTTAGCATTCCCAGCCCAGCTTCCCGCTCCTGCTGCCTTCCCCAGGACAGCAGTGCTGGCTCGCAGGGCTGGGCTGTGCCACATGCTTCCCCGGTGCTCTCAGGGGAGTGCTGCTCGCCTAGCCCAGTGCCACTGGAGTGCCCCAGCCCCACTCCCGACCTGGAGGTAGGCAGCGCTTCCCTTACTGCGCCTGCGGAGTTGCTGGGCACCAGTGCCCCTCTCTGAGCGGCAGGGAAACCTGCCCGAGCTGGGCACCCCTTCCCAACCCTGCCTTGCCTCTCCTGCCCGCCTCGGCCGCACACCCCCTCTCTGCCAGCCATGGGGAGAGTGGCAGCACAGCTCTCTTCCCCACACACCTGGGCATCTCCCATGTGGAAAATTCTCTGGCATCTGCCCTGGGAAAGCAGGAAGCAGGTGCTGCGTAAGGGGGTAGATAATCCCAACACCTTCCCCCATCCCAGCAAAAGTGGACAAGGGAGCTGGAGGGAGGGCAGAGTCCTCCTGCCTGACTGCGGGCAACTGCATGGCCCTGGCGCTGGGGGGCCTGGGCTAGAAAGTGAATTTAATCTCCTGTTTTGTTTGTTCTTTCTTCCTCCGTGAGGGGGGCCAGCACAGGGCGTGCCGGGGAGCTCCATTTGAGAGCGGGGAGGAGGGGGGAAGTGTCGGATCTGAAAGGGAGGAGTGAGAGGGAGCACTGGGAAGGGCAGACCCGGGAGGGAGCAGAGGGCTGGGAGCTGGCGCGGGAGGAACACGGGCGGAGGAGAAGGGGAAAGGCAGGTAAGGAAAGCACCTTGCTGGGAGGTGGGGGAGAGGCTGGGGGAGGGAGACGGGACAGCGGGAGGAGAGCGGGTGCTGAGGAGGGGATGGGCCCTTGGGCCCCAGCAGGAGCCTCGGTGCCACCTGCCCTGCTGTTGCTTCCGCTCCCGTGCTCTCCAGGAGAGCCCCGGTCCCATCGTGTGCCCTTGTGTTCACACACAGGCCGTGGACGGGACCTCCCTGCCCGCCAAGGGCTCCTCCTGCCCCTTCCCGCTGCTGCTTCTGCGGCTGCTCGGTGCCCGCTGGCTTGTCTCTCCCTGCCTCTCCTGCCTGGGCGCAGCGAGCCCGGCAGAGATGGTGTCTCGGTGGGCTGGGGCGGGAGAGGAGCTGGGGCAGAGTGCTCAGGGCGGCCGCACGTGGCACCACCAAGGGCGCCGGGCGCCTCAGGCCGAGGTGGCTCCCGCCTGGCGCACCGCACGCTGCCTTCCCTGCCCTGCCTCTGCCTGCCCCGTAGGCCATGGAAGGCAGCACGTGTGCGAGCAGGACCCCTTCCTGGCCGGGGAGAGGGGCACTGCAGCTCCCACCTGCGCGGGCTCCCTGCCTGGGCACGTGGGGCCGGCCCCTGTGTTTTTGGCAGGTTGCACGTGAGCAGTGCTCGCGCCACGCGCTGCTCACATAGCGCAGCGCTTGCAGCACCCCAAGTGTGTGGTTCGTGGCGGGGGCCTCCTCCAGGCTGGCCTTGCTGCCCCCAGGCATGCGGGGTCCGTGCCCGGTTGCAGGCAGCTCGGTGCTCATCCTGCCTTCCTCCTGGAGAGCTGGTGCCTGGCCCTACAGCCGGCAATTGCCAGGTGTTTCCAGCCTTGCCCCGGGCGGGCTGCCTGTTGCCTAAGGGGGCTCCGGGCAGTGTGGCTGCTGCGCCCTCCCAGGCAGCCCCCTCGGGCATCTGCACATCAATGGGCTGAGGCTCCCTACAAGGGGCAGCAGCCCCTAATCCGGCCCTTTCATTCCAAGGCAGCAGAGGCTTTTGTTGAGCCTGCAGATGTTGCGGGGAGGGCAGGGGCTCAGTCTCCTGCTGCAGCAAGCGGGGACAAGGAGCGAGGCCAGCCTGCGAGGAGAAGGAGGTTGGTGTTGGCTGGCTATGTGCGCCAGGGTCTTCGCTGTGCACCTGGCCCCTCAGGGACCTTGGTCAGGGCTTGCTGGAGATCATCTGTCCCCAGGGCTGGCTGGGACCCCTCCTGGGCGGTGGGTGGCATGTGTCTCCACTGCCCTTTCCGCGTGCAAAAGGGCTGAGCTGGGCACAGGGCGCCGGAGCCCTGTGTGGCTGTGGCTCAGGCGTCACCATCCACACAGGTGGGGACTGTGGCGCATCCTCAGAGGCAGCGCTGGCTGGAATGTGGGCATCGGGCTGGGGAACAAAGCGGGCACGCGGAGCGGTGGCACCGGGTGGCCGGTGGGGAGGCGGCCGGCGGCGGCGGCCGGCTCTGTGCACTGCGCCGGGGCTGCCAGCGGACCAGGGCCCACGGGGCAGTGCGGGGAGCCCTCCTGGCTTGCCGCTGTGGCTGAATTTGGAGCTCCCGCTCCGGAGCCTTGCAGGCTCCTCCCTGCACTTGTTGCTAGCGCGCCTGCTATGGCTGCCTCGTGCGTGTGCTGCATGTTCCCGTCCTGCCGCAGTGGCAGCAGCAGGAGGTGCCGCCAAACTCCTGTGCTCTCGCTGTGCTCGGAGACCCCGCAGCCTTCACCGGTGGGACAGGGCTGAGCCGGCGCTGTGTGAGCGGGGAGCAGCACTCTGGCCCGATGCGTGCCGTGCCATGCCGAGCTGTGCCGTGTCGTGGCTTGCAGCGCTGCACGGTGCCCTCCCCACCGCTGCTGGCCACCGCAACTGCACCGTGGGGCTCGCACGGCCGTCCTGGCAGCAGGGCCTGCAAGTGGGGGTCAGGCCATGGAGGCATTTTCCTTGATTCCCCACAAAGCCCCACCATATCCTGTGTGGTCCTTAGGCCAGGGCTTTTGGCGCCTGAAGTCAAGCCCGCCATTTCCAGCCATCCCTCTACAGAGCCAAGCAGCCTCCTCGGCTGCACGGGCGCCTCGCAACTCCGCTCCGTGCTCTCCATCACCTGGAGCCGTGTATCCTTTAGGGCAGCAGTGCTGGGGAAGGGAGTTTCCCAAAACTGCTCACAATCTCTGCAGCTTGACACCAAAGTTTGGAGGGGAAGATGTGTCCAGCAGAGCTTTCCCCCTTGCCCCCAGCCAGCCAGCTGGGGGACTGGGAAGGCAGCCAGGGTGCTGGGCTCCGGCTACTTGCGTATCTGTGCGTGGGCTGCGCTCCCTGGGCAGCAGCGTGCTGAGCCCAGCCTGTCCTTGAGGGCTCCATTTCAAGAGCTGTCCCAGCCCCTTCAGCCTCTGGAGGTGGGGGAGGGCTCTGCCCTCTCTCTCAAGGACAGGCTGCATTAACCATCGGGTGACCGGCCACCCAGCTCAGCAGATGCCTGCAGCCCGGTGGAGTGGGACCGCACAGCACCGTTCCTTCCCAGGAACTCGGCTCTCTCTCCTCTTGGCCCGTGAGACAGCCAGGAACAGAGCTGGAGTGAAACAGCTCCTGGGGGAGACACATTCCCTCCTTCTGCATTTGAGGTCTCTTCTGAAGAGACCGTGTGGCCTGGGCAGGGTTCTGGGTCAGGTCCTGGGAGGTGTCCCCCTGCACTAGGACAGGTAGGAGAGGCTGGGCTGGGAGAGGCTGCTGTTGCTGGAGAGGGAGTTATGCCCATCCCGCACAGCCAGAGTCCTCAAGTGAGCAAGGAGACAGGGATCTCTTGCCAGTGGGGGAGAACAGGGACTTGTGCATGGGATGGTTGGTGGCTCATGCTCCTCTCTTGTCTCCTGTCTCACAGGCTTTAGGATGCTGGGCCCGGCTGGGTTAGGCCTGCCCACGTGAGCGTTGCGCTGCTCCCGCTGCCGGCCCACCATGCTGCGCTCCTGGCGCGTGAAGCTGAAGCTGCTGCTCGCCACGCTCACCCTGGCCGGTCTCCTCTCCTGGCTCTACCTCTTTGTGGGCAGTCTCGAATGTGAGTGGGGCAAGACAGGGCTCCTGAGTTGCCCTTCTGGCCGGGTCCCTTTTGGGGCAAGGGAAGCTCTCCAGGGTGGAGTGAACAAGGGAAGCCAAGGCCTTGGGGTGTCTGCTCTGTAGTTCCCTGTGGATGGATCTGACCTCCAGCTTTCTATGGGCATCCCTGGGGCCTGGGGGAGCAGAGCTCTGAGTGCCTGGCATACACAGGGTCCCTCAACCCAAATTTGGGGCCCTCCCTGCACCCCTGGGAGGTGGGTGTTTGTGCTGGCTGCGTGCCGCTCCATGCGCCGCTCCGTGCCTCGCCACAGATGGCCGCTTCCTGCTGCTGCCGCCGTGCCTGGGCGAGCAGCCGAGCCGCGACGCGGAGCGCCAGGCGCTGGCATCGCAGGTGCACACGGTGGAGCAGGAGAACCGGCAGCTCCGCCTGCAGCTCGGCCGGGCGCCGGCGGGAGCCCCCGCCGAGGACGACGGCCACCCCACAGCGCAGCGCAGCAACCACACAGCCTGCCCCAAGCAGCGGACGGTGCACAAGTGCGAGGTGCGTGGGCAGCGCGCGCAGGGCCCCAAGGCAGAGCCTGGAGGGGAGCCTGTGTCTGAGAGCAGCCTCCTGCTTCTTGGGGGAGTGACACCTGATGGGAAGGGGTGGCAGAGCCGGACTCTTGGGCCCTGTTCTGATCCATTTTCCCAGGGGAAGAGCTGGGTTAATGAGTCCCCTCCCATTAGGGTGGCCTGGGGGATGATCTGGCAGGTCCTTGTGTAAGACTCTGGTCTCAGAAGGGTGTCACTTGTCTCTGGACAGCTGCTGCACATAGCAATTGTGTGTGCTGGACACAATGCCAGCCGGGATGTGGTCACCCTGGTGAAGTCCATCCTCTTCCACAGGTAAGAGGGCTGTGCTGGGGCAGAGGCCCACCTGTGTGGGGCTCCTGGTGCAGGCTGCAGGGCAGGCAGTGCCACAGAGAGGGCTGCTACATCGTAACTGCTGAGGCCTAGAGGGACGGAGGGAGATGTTTCCCTCCCCTGGGTGATTTTTCTCAGTGTGGCCCCTCAGCTGCTGGCTGTCCCCCTGGCAGGGTTGGGTTGGAGGAGCAGGGACCGTGTCCCTCTGAGGTGGTTGTTGCCTGCTGCTAAGGTGCTAAGCACTGCTGCACTTGCCCTTGGCAGGAAAAATCCTCTTCACTTTCACCTCATCACGGACTCGGTGGCTCAGCAGATCCTCCAGACACTCTTCCAGTCCTGGATGGTGCCCTCCGTCCACGTCAGCTTCTACAATGCCGAGGACTTGAAGGCAGGCATTCAACCCCATGCCACCCTCTCCCCACTTTCTTTCCCAGCTCAGTGCTTGAAAGGCTGAGAAGGGACCAGCAGAGAAGGTCTATGTGAGAGGGTCTATGTTTAACCTCTCTATGTGAGAGGTTAAACATTCTTCTGTGGTCCCTTGCTTGCCTACTCCTCTTTCTGAGACAGATGAAGCAGAGACAGGCTGGGAGGGCAAGAGGTCTGGCTGTCACCTCTGGCCCCTCTGAACCACTACGAGGCTGGAGGGCCTTCAAGCAGGGCCCTGAGAGCTGCTGTGGAGAGGTGACAGGATGCCCCAAATACGTTGGTTTACGAGAGGTGCTCTCATAGGGAGGCTAGAATCTTGCAGGAGGTGCAGGGAAAGGGATCTTCCAGCACAAAAGCTGTGCCACAGGCAGAGTAAGGAGCCTGTGTACTCCCCCATGGCAGCAGCTGGGCTGGGCAGGGTCTGTGATACTGGCTGTGAGATGGCAGCAAATGCTACTCGCTGAGGACACCTTGCTTCCACCTGGGTTTGAAACAGGGACCTGGGGCCTTGCCTAGCCTGGGAATTTAGATGTGACCCTGGGGAGCCTGCAGGGAAGGTGCTGGCTCTGCAGCTCCGTGAGGCACTTGGCACTTGGATTGGGTGGCAGCCAGGCCCCTGCTCTGTGTGGAGTGCTGGGCATGCACAACTGTGCCGCCCGGGCACGGGGACAGCCTCTCCATGGCTCAGCAGTGAGGCTGTGTCACCTTGCAGCCAGAGGTGTCCTGGATCCCCAACAAGCACTACTCGGGCATCTACGGACTGATGAAGCTGACGCTTGCCAAGGCTCTGCCCTCCAGCCTCTCCAAGGTCATCGTCTTGGACACCGACATCACCTTCGCCACTGACATTGCAGAGCTCTGGGCCATCTTCGGGAAGTTCTCTGGTGAGGACAGAGCTCCAGCCCCAGCTGCCCTCTAAGGGAGGGGGGCCCAGTCTGTCACCTCATTTGTGCAGTGAGTTTGCAGGTGGCTCCTGAACCATGGCAAGATGAGCCACGTGTCCCTCTCTTCCCTCAGACAAGCAGGTGATTGGGCTGGTAGAGAACCAAAGCGACTGGTATTTGGGCAATCTCTGGAAGAACCACAAACCGTGGCCTGCTCTGGGACGTGGCTTCAACACGGGTGAGCGTGGGGCTGCTGGGGTGCGGGGACGAGCACCCCGTGCAAGCAGCTGAGGTGGGTCTGGTAGGGGAGGAGGCTGGGCTGGGGTGAGGCAGGAGTGTCTGTGCAAAGGGCTGCTGCTGCTGCTGCCTCTTAGGGGCTCGTGTGGGCCGACCTGCGGCACAAGCGTGGCTCAGTATTGAGGCGTGGCACGGCCTCAGTAACGCCGTGGGCTCTTCCTGGCCCCAGGGGTGATCCTGCTGCTGCTGGAGCGCCTGCGGCGCCTGGGCTGGGAGCAGACGTGGCGGCTGACCGCGGAGCGGGAGCTCATGAACATGCTGTCCACCTCGCTGGCCGATCAGGTGACAGTCCCTTTCCCAGCCTCATCAGCCGAGGCATTGCTGTAGCGGTGCCAGCACGTGGGCACTGCCATGCCTCCTTGGCTAGCCGTGCACCCTTCTGCCTCTCTCCTAGGACATCTTCAATGCGGTGATCAAGCAGGACCCGGCCCTGGTGTACCGGCTGCCGTGCTTCTGGAACGTGCAGCTCTCCGATCACACCCGCTCCGAGCAGTGCTACACCGAGGTCTCGGATCTCAAGGTGAGTGGGGCCGACCTGCCTCTCCCTGCGGCAGAAATCGGATCCCCCTATTTGGGACCCTGGTCTCTGCCTGGTAGGTGCTCCTGCCCTGCAGGGGAGGGGTGGAAGGCCTGAAGGATGGAGCATATGATGAAGGTCTGAGGGAGCCAGCATGGGGCGTGAGGGCTTGGGAAGCGACGCTCCTTTACTCTGCACGGAGTGACTTGCGCTGCCCCCAGGTGATCCACTGGAACTCGCCCAAGAAGCTGCGGGTGAAGAACAAGCACGTGGAGTTCTTCCGCAACCTCTACCTGACCTTCCTGGAGTATGACGGGAACCTGCTGCGCAGGGAGCTCTTTGGCTGCGCCAGCCTCCCCAGCCCTCCGAGCAACCAGGTGAGGTCAATGGCAGCTCTGCCCAACCCCAGCGTGAGGCCTGGGCTGGGCCAGAAGGCACCTCCAGGCACCCCCCGGCTCACCTTGCGTCTCCTTCCTGCCTCGCTCACCTTTGTGGCACCACAGCTGCAGCAGGCGCTGGAGGAGTTGGATGAGGACGATCCCTGCTACGATTTCCGCCGGCAGCACCTCACGCAGCACCGTGTCCACCTCTTCTTCCTGCAGTATGAGTTCTCACCTCTTACTGATCCCACCGATGTCACCCTCGTGGCCCAGCTCTCCATGGACAGGTACTTGCCAGTGGCGCTTGTGGGATGGCAGCTTCTTCCTTCCATTTTCGCTGGGCTGACTGCACAGCTAAGGCGCTTCCTGGAATCTCTGATGGGGGTTCATCATGGCCAGAACACACCCCCCGGTTTTGTGTTCAGGTTCTGCTCCTTACCAGCAGGCAGGAAGGACAGTCTTGTTGCTGAGAATCTTCTGTTTCTTTCTGCTGTGAGTTGGAAGCCTCACTTCTGCTGCCAACTACTTTATTTCTTTGTTCTTCCTGCATTGGACAAAGGTTTAGCAAGTTGCTGGACACTGCAGCACTACTGGTGGCATACACCAAGTGCCTGGTCACCTTCCTGCAGTGCTTCCTCCCAGTTCTCTCTAATTCCGTCAGGCTGCAGGTCTTGAAGCTGAGCTGTCCTGAAGGGTAAATGTTTGGAGGCAGGTGCAAACAACCAAAGCCAGTGTTTAAGCAAATTCTCCTCAGAGACTTTGGTAAAGAACTACTGAGACTTGTTGAAACTCAGTCCCAACAGAGGCCAAGACACGTAGGGCACTTGCCTCAGACCCACTGAGCTGCTGTTAACCTGGTGTCCTGCAGTGGAGTCAGGCTGGGCTTGTGAGGAGAGGATGGTGGGGACTATTCCAAGCGTGTGCCCCTTGGTTTGGCCGAGTTCCCCCAGGGCAGGGCCCCAGCTCACGCAGCACCCTCTGCTTCGCAGGCTGCAGATGCTGGAGGCCATCTGCAAACACTGGGCGGGCCCCATCAGCCTGGCGCTGTACATGTCAGACGCGGAGGCGCAGCAGTTCCTGCGCTACGCGCAGGCCTCGGAGGTGCTCAGCGCCCGCCGCAACGTCGCCTACCACATCGTCTACAAGGAGGGCCAGTTCTACCCCATCAACCTCCTGCGCAACGTGGCCTTGGCCAACACACAGACACCCTATGTCTTTCTGACCGACATTGACTTCTTGCCTATGTACGGCCTCTACGATTACCTCAGGTAGGGCATCCCCAGCTGGCTCTGAGCCAGCCGTGGGCTCCCCACACACTGGGCAGCGTTTTCAGCCTGCAGAAACTTTCCTTTGTGTTCAGCCTTGGGATATCCTGTCAGACATGAGTGGAGTGGGAAGCAGCTGTGGCTGTGAGGGGTTCCCTATTCCTCCTGTGCCTGTGCGGCACCCCTGAAAGGGCCTAACCCCTGTTCATAGCCTTTTTACATCTATGGGTGGGGTGCAGGAGCTGAGAGGGGGGCTGTACCCACACTTTGTGCCTTTCCCAGTGAGGGCTCATGCTCTTCCTCCTGCCCTAGGAACTCTATCCAGCAGCTGGAGCTGCCCAACAGGAAGGCAGCTCTCGTTGTGCCAGCGTTTGAGACCCTGCACTACCGCCTGACCTTCCCCAAATCCAAAGCAGAGCTGCTCTCCATGCTGGACATGGGCTCTCTCTACACATTCAGGTGGGTACCACAACTGCCCTGCTCTCCAGCAGGGCTGTCACACACACAGGGCGCCCTGTGTCTAGTGGTTCTGGTGCTGCCAGGTCTGCCACGTTTTCCTGGTGTCTCATCCCATCCATGTCTGCAGGTATCACGTGTGGCCCAAAGGCCATGCCCCAACTGACTATGCCAAGTGGCGGACGGCCACCGTGCCGTACCGCGTTGAGTGGCAGCCGGACTTCGAGCCTTACGTTGTAGTGAGGCGAGACTGCCCCAAGTACGACCAGAGGTTCGTGGGCTTTGGCTGGAACAAGGTGTCCCACATCATGGAGCTGGATGCACAGGTAGGTGCTGCGGGAGGTCCCGGGTGGGCATGGAGAACTGGTAACCCCAAGCTGGTGCCCCTGCGTTGACGGATGCCCCTCTGCCTCAGGAGTACGAGCTGCTTGTCCTGCCCAATGCCTTCATGATCCACATGCCCCACGCACCCAGCTTCGACATCTCCAAGTTCCGGCTGAGCGCGGGCTACCGGGGCTGCCTGCAGACGCTGCGGGAGGAGTTCCACCAGGACCTGTCGCGCAAGTATGGCGCCGCCGCGCTCAAGTACCTCACGGCTGAGCGGGGCCTGTGACGGCGCGCACCGCAGCACCGCAGCACTGCAGCACCGCCGCCGCTGCAGCCCCGGCAGCCGCCAGAGCCCTGCTTGAGGAAACCGAGCGCCGGCCCAGCAGGGGGTGCCAGGGGTTGAGGCGGAAGATGCCAGCCCTGAGAGAACGGGAGGAGGCCTGTGTGTCCAAGTGTCACAGCACGGTCAGGACTCCATGTTACAGTGTGGGGGAACCGTCTCTCAAGTCAGGGACCAGGGCGGGATTGGTTTCCATCACCCCATTGCCAGGGCCTGGGACAAGGCTAATGTGCTGGTGCTGGAGCTCTTCTACAGGTTCCCTGCAAGGTTATTTCCAGCCTCAGACATCTCCCTAGTAGGAAGTTTGGGCTGATGTGGATTCACAGCCTCCTCTGGGTCACCTCTGCCTGGGGCCTGGCTCCTGCAGGCCCCTGGGAGCTGCCCTGTTCTCCCTGGCTCTGTCTCCTTGTGGTCCCTGTTCCCAGCTCTCGGCACGGAGCCTCTGGAGCTCGCTGAGTGGGAGAAGGGGATGTAGAACATCCCTTTGCATCCTTCGTTGAGCAGGGTCAGACAAGAGGGAGGTAGGGCCAGAGACAACCGTGAGTTGTGGCCTCATGGCTCAAGCCAGGACCAAGGTGAGCTGGTAAATAGGATGTTCCTCCTCCTTGCCCTGTGGAGACCAAGTCTCCCAGGTGACTGTTCCCATCCTGGTGCCATGAGTGTGGAGCTGGGCTATCTCTGCCCCCAGTGCAGCTCCAGGACAGGCGTGCACCGGCCTGCCGTCCTGCCTGTGGCGGGCACTACCTGGGGGCCGAAAGTGCCCAGCACGGTATGGCTGTGACCCAAGCGTGGCCACAGCAGTGCTCGTAGAGGCAGCGTGTCGGTCCTTGTCCTCACGGCACAGCACCAACAGAGGGTTATACCGTGGGGCTTTGTGCAGGACACCAGCCAGCTGCTCGTCACCATGGTCAGCTTTGGCACTGTGAAGTCACAGCTTTATGTGAAGGAAAGCAGGGTGATGTGTTGTTGGGAGGACTGACACCAAGTGCTATCATCCATCCTTGCAGGCATGGGTGGACTCTTGCAGGCAGAGCCCAGCTTTCCCCTGCTCGTGGCCGCACGGGCGCTGCTGCAGGCTGCAGCTGGGCTCAGCAGCTGGCCTTGCTAACACAGAGCCTTGGCCCCTGCTCTGCTGCAGAGCTGACCTTAAGTGACATTTCAGTGCTGGTGACCACTGTGGGACAAACCACTGAGCCCCCCTGCAGCCACAGGTGTGGGTGAAACAGCACCTGGGTAGGCAGAGCCACTCCGTGCATTCCCCAGAGCACCCGGAGCCTCCTTGGCTCTGGGCAATGCCGATGTTGCCACTGACAATCAGGGCTGTGGGCAGTGCTGGGGGAGACTCTAGCTGAGCGCTGTGGCTGGATCCCTGCGCTGGGAGCAGCCGGGCCAGGCACTGCTCCACAGCTCTCACAACACTGGAGCCCAGAGGACGCATTGCTTTCCTCACGCTATTTAAATTATTTAATACCTTTCTCATAAGATGTAAATGATTAGATTTTTTTTTTTCAATCCTTTCTTCCTCCCTGATGATTGTGCTGGTGGCCCTGGAGGAGCTCCAGGCCAGTCGCTGCTGTAGTCGCCGCTGTTCTCTTCTTAGCGCTATTCTGATCTGCAGGAGCCACATGGGTGCAGGTGTGAAGACTTCCGTCCGTGGTGGGGCTGGCCAGGAGGAGCCATACACATTGTGCTGTATGGAAAGGGCACAAGCGCCTCTTGCTTTCTCTTTTTAATTTAATTTTTAAATTAAAGCTTTTTTATTCTTTTTCAAAACTTTGTTAGAACTGTGTGGTTATTCCTTTTTTTTTTTTTTTTTTTCTGTTGGGAGCAGAGGGCTCTTTTGGCCATCCCATTGAGGGATAGGTGTCCAGAGAAGCACTAGCTCTGTGGTTGCTTCTGCCTTGGGGCCTGCGTGCGGCTGTGCGGCATAATTTCCAGTCAAGCCTTGCTAATCCAGGCATTCCTTAGCCCCATCCGCGCAGAAAAGCTGCATTCCCGAACAGGACCCAAGTGGGCGAGGGAGGCTTCCGTCTCCGTGCGCCCCCTGCTGGGCAGGAGGCGCCGCAGGGAGGCGCTGATGGCGCCCGAGGGGATTTCCCGCCCCAGCCCCTGTCCCCGAGCTCCCGTTCGCGCTGCCCCGGCGGCGCCTCCCGCCCGCCAAGCAAGGAGCCCGCGCGGCCATTTCGCAGCGCCGCCCTCAGGGCCGCTGCCGGGGCCCCCGGCCCCACGGCCAAGCACTGCCACGGACACGAGAGCTTTTACTGTGTTTTATTTAGTAAAATGTTAAAATAAATAAATACAAATTGATCAGATGCTCTGTGTCCCCCTCCC